AGGCAAAGTTGGTAACAAGTCTTTAAATGTGCCTATTCTCAAATTAGAGTGTTAGATACATCAAAATTCATTGGTCCTTAATGAAGTGACCCAGACTGGAGGACATTCAAACTTTTTACATGGGCTAGGCAAAATGATGGTCTATCCAGACTCACCTTTCAACTAATACACTTAGCAGGGAGACACAGATGGATGGGAAAGATGACCCTGACCCACATAAGACCCACATTCCTGCGCAAGGATAGAAGCATGATAATCAGGAAATGATGGTTGTTAGTTACAGAAAATGCATTATTGTGAAAACCAGGGGAAAAGTGCTTATGAGAGGAAGTGATTGGATTATGGAGAATGAGAGAATAAGGATAGATCATTCCTACTGAGTAAATTGCCGTGATTTATAAGAAAAAGGGTATAGTGATATCTTGGCCCATTACTGACCAGATTCATTTCACAAACAATCTTAAATCAGAATGTGACAGTTTATGGGGAGACAAACAAAGCTTCCCTAGGATGCTTATGCGTTACAAAGCTCTCAGACTGGTGGATTCCCAGCCACTCTCCCATCACTTTATCCCCCTCAGCTTCCTTTATTTGGCAGTGGACATTCATAATTGTAATTTTGCATTTTCTCTTTATGTGACTCTAGTAATAGATTACTATATACTATGGTCAAAGAGTAAACAATAATAATATATATGGCCATGCATTTTTGGAATTTTGAAAAATTTCTAGAGAGATTTACCTAAAACAATTACAAGTTTAATGAGTTTATAAATACACCTGGAGTATTTAAATGTTACTAAAATAATGACATGCTGTTTTCAGAATAGATTATTATTGGGTGTTCTAAATTTTCCTTTTAGATCACATATGAATTAATCAAATAATTATCTCTCATATTTCAGTCAGAAGCATAGCATTATTTATTGTTACATATATATAGTGTTATGTTTAATTGTTTGTAGTTCATTTGGACTTCAAAGTTCTCATCTTTCAAGGACAGAGGCTGATAGAACACATGCTAAGAGAAAATACATTCTAGGAGAAACACTTGTATAACAGAACAGGCAATCTTATTATTAAGTTTACTGAACATGTAAGCATAGGAAGAAGGAACAGAAACAACAACTTTGAAAAATTTCCCTAAAATGACATTTAAGCACAGCTCAGCAAGGTGCTAAATAATTCACTTTTAAAACATGATTTATCAGTGTATGGCACATAAAATATTTAGTAGAATGCTTAGATGTGTTGTGAGTGGCATTTTCCTCTCAGCTCTGCATGGGGTAGCAGAGTTTGATTGCAACTATGACAGGAATGATTGCAGGCTTGACATTTTACTGTGGAAGGCAAGAAGCTCAAATAAGGCATGATGCTGATTTTTGGCTGCCCTACACACCTATTTGCAAGCGCAGGTTTTGGGAAATAGTTTGGCGTCTGTACTTAGTGATATTCCAAAGGCACATACTGTGGAACATACTTGTGGACATAATCCTCTGAAAAGATTTTAAAATAAAAGCTACCATACCATCTCTATTGTAATGAAAGTTCATGAACTTTCCAAGGAAAGTTTTCAGCAAAATTTTCATAATCATATCTGGGCAGCAGGCAGGTGATTTCCCATTGGTCTGTTAGAAAAAATTGAGTTTAAAAGTATAGTCCTAACAGTATTGAGTTGACCCTATAAAGGTCCATGAATCAGCTTTTCCCTGGAGATGGTCTTTCCTCTTTTGGTCCTATTAATTTGGAGTGATCTTCACAGTATAAGTTGGATATTAAGGGCTCATACCTGTAATCCTAGCTACTCAGACTCCTGGAACCTATAGGATTAAGGTTTGAGTACAGTACCCAAAGAAAAAGCTAAGAAACTCTTATTTCCAGTAAATACCAGACTGGAGATATGTCTAAGTGTCTAGGTGGTAGAGCATCAGCCATGTAAGAGTGCAAGTGACCAGTTCAAGCCTTGGTACCACCAAAAAAAAAAAAAGCACAGTCTATCAATCTATGGTGGCCTGTTCTAGTTCATAATAATTAATGATGACATTTGTCTTTTTGTCTATGTTACCTTGTTAAAAAGACCTTAGCAGTAATCTTAAAGACCCTATACAATCTGTCCCTCATTTCCTCTCTAAATTCCACATACATTACATCTCTTGGGAAATCTTTTGTAATGATCAGGAAAACAGTGATGAAGACTGTCATTGCTATTAACTCCTTTTTAATTGGTTCTGTGTACTATATCAGAGACAGAGTAATTTATAAAACAGAATCTTATTCACACTTCCAGAGGCTAATTAATCCAAGATTGAGGCACCAGTATGTTTGGTTCCTTACGGGAATAGTTCTTCTGGAAGGGTGGGTGAGAAATGCTGTGTCTTCAACTGGGAGAAAGAAAATAGGCAAGCTAGCTCAATATTCTGAGGAGCCTCTACTCTAAGGGCCTCAGTCCCATTCATGAGAGGAACAGACCAAAGGTCTAAGATCTCACCTTTTTTTTTTCTTTTTTGATGATACCGGATTTGAACCCAGAGCCTGGTGCTTGCTAGGCAAGCACTTCACCACTTGAACAATTCCCCTAACTCTTCTTTAAAAGTTACTTTTCAGATTGAGTTTTTCATTTCTGACTGGGGCTACCTAGAACTAGGATCTTCCAGATCTCTACTTCCCAAGTAGCTAAAATGACTGACCTGAGCCACTGTACCCATTAAGTGGGTCCACTTCCTCATGACATCACAGCACAGCACGATTCCAGCAGAAAAATCCATAAGAATCTTATTTCCAATGAACTACCAAAGAGCTGGAAGTCGAGATACAGTTCAAGTGTACAGTACCAGCCTTAAGCGAAAAAGCTAAGGAAGAATGCTAAGGCCATGAGTTCAAGCCCTAGTACTGGCTCACGCGTAGACATGAGTAAAACTCTGTGGATGCTGTCATTTGTGTTTGTGACTTAGCACAGAAGTGTTCCTAACTCCACACTTCTGATTGCTGGAATCTTCTTCGCCTCCAGAGCCTACCCTAGTCCTGGCTTCTCTGAGTAGCTTATATTGAGTCTTGGTTCCTTCATTGACCTGATAGATCTTTGCCCTCTCAGTACACTATTTTTAGTAAGTTCTTATCTTTACTCTTTTTTCCCTTTTGTATTTTCAAGGTGATGTACAGAGGGGTTACAGTTACATAGGTAAGGTAATAAGTATATTTCTTGTCAAACTTGTTACCCCTTCTCTCCTTTTCTCTCCCTCCCCCTACTGCTACCCCGAGTTGTACAGATCATTTCAAACATATTGTCTTATGTATATTGCTGTTGCATTGGTTCCCTCTTGTCCTTTGTCTCACCATTCTGTTGTCCCCTTTCCCTTCCCTAATTCAAATAAACGTATATACAATACCAGGGTAACAAAATCAAATACAGTGACAACAGGAAATATACCACAGGGGGCAGAACATACAAAAGAAACAAAAAAATCACTTAGTATATTAAAAACAACAATTATAAAGTTTGTTTTTCAACATAGTGTACATCTCATTGTTACAATGGGTCAACCTGTATCTTATTTAAGCATTTTGTTTTTTCCCTTCCCCTCCCCAAGTTAGAGAAGTGTATATACAAGATGGAGGGCATTGACATCAAATACAGTGAAAACAGGGGTTATAGCATGGGGGAGGAACATACAAAGCAACAAAAAAATCACGTAGTATATTATAAATACATTAGGAACAATAGCAAGAAAGAAAAAAAACACTTGTGTCCCTATCTTGGGATTCATTTTACTTAACATCATCTTATCTGGCCATACGTACATAGCTTTTTTACAGTAATGTAAAGAATTTGTTTGGAATCCTGATGACTGTAGGATAGAGTTGAGGCTATCTAATAATAGATTTGTTGTACAAAGAGGTTATCATTCAGCATGTCAATCTGAGTATAATTCATCTTGATCAGTATCATCCCTTTCATCGTTCTCTTCCTCCCTCTCAACCCCACTCATTCCCTCAATGTTCCTACTTTCATAGGATATGCATTGAATATGATTACTGCATTCTCCCCTCAACCCTTCCTCTTTTCATAACAAAGACTATTTTTAATTGTAAAGATACTATACAGAGGGGTTAAAAATTACACGAGTAAGGTAATGAGTACATTTCCTATTGAGCATTGTTACCCCCTCCTTTGTATTTCCCCTACTATCCTTTCCCTCCCAACCTTCCCAACTCCTCTTGCCCCAAGTTGTAAAGTTCATTTTCAACATAGTGTCTTGTATGTCTCATTGTTACAATGGGCCATCCTGTATCCTTGTTTCAGCTTTTTATTTCATTTCCCTTCCCCAAATTAGAAAAATGTATTTACAAGATGCAGGGCACCAGAATTAAATACAGTGACAACAGGGGTTATACCATGGGGGAACATAGAAAAGAAACAAAAAATCACATAATACTTTACAAACAACAGCAACAAAGAAAAAAAGTCTTATGTCCATATCTTGGGGTTCATTTCGCTTAGCATCAACTTATATGGTCATGTGTACATAGCTTTTGACCCTTTCTGCATGTCTGGTAAGATTATCCTAGAAATATACTAGTTCTTGCAAATAAGGGAAATCATAGGACCTATGTATCTTTGGATAATTCTAATTCCTTTATACTAGTTTCTGTTTCCAACTCCACCCCTTTTTCTTTTTTAAACCATGACTGGTAATTTATCTGTTTTGAAATAAAATAGTTATCTATTTAAAAAGATTTATTTTAGCAATTTTGTACTTCCTTTTCCACATACTCTTTCAAATTTAAAAATCATGTGTTCATGATTTTAATTAATTTCTCTTATGAAAAGTTCTTGTTCTGTTGTAATGAGTTTTAAAGAATTGGGTCTTTTAATTTTCTAATGCCTTTAACATGTTGTAAGTTAATATAAAGCACTGTTCATTTTTCATGTTTTTTTCTGTTATTATACTGCAGAAATTACTTTTTTCTGTAGCAGATAATTGATTTTTCTCTTGACACAGCTCCAGATGGTCCTCCTGAAAATGTGCATGTAGTAGCAACATCACCTTTTAGCATCCATATCAACTGGAGTGAACCTGCTGTCATTACTGGACCAACATTCTACCTGATTGATGTCAAGTCGGTAAGGCATGACTTGCCTTCACTAATAGATGGTTAGAGAACATGCTTATAAGTTTGGGAGTCAGACTATTTGAATCTGAGGCTTGTTTCTGTTACCAATTAGGAAATATGTTTAACTTCTTTGTTAATACCTATATTAAATTGTATAGGCACACACACACACAGGCACACACACACACACACACACACACACACACACACACATATCCACCTACTTCTATCTATCTGTCTGTCTGCTTGCCTGCCTGCCTGCCTGCCTGTCTGTCTACCCATCTATCTATGTATCTATCTACCTACCTACCTATCTACCTATCTATCCATTTGGAGATTCTGAGTATTTCTGCATAAAGAACTTAGAACATTTTGACACATAACTAGTGTTCAATGCTTGTACAGTTTTAGTCATTTAACTATTACACTTATTCTCAGGTCACAGATGATGTATGGAAATAAGTGGTTAATTTTGATTTAAAATATAGTGGAAAGGGACACAGAATAGCATGAGATGGAGAAGACCTGGGAGGAAACATCTCTCAGATAGGAGAGATGTTCTCACAGGAGAAAGCACTTGTCTAGTAAGGGTAAAGCCCTGAGTTCCATACCTCATTACTACAAACAAAAGAAAGCAGTGCAGGGCTGGGAAGGTGGCTCAGTGGTAGAGCGCTTGCCTTGTCTGCTTGAGGCCCTGGGTTCGATTCCTCAGCACCACATAAGCAAAAAGAAAAAAGCCAGAAGTGGTGCTGTGGCTCAAGTGGTAGAGCACTAGCCTTGAGCTGAAGAGCTGAGGGACAGCGCCCAGGCCCAGAGTTCAGGCCCCACAACTGGACCAAAAAAAAAAAAAGAAAAGAAAGCAGTGCAGCCATCTCACAGGATAACATTCAAAAGAAAGAGAGCAACAATGTAACATGTTGCAGACTTCAGGTTTATATTAAGGGCCTCAATTAAAGAATTAAAGCAATGAAGGGGTATAAAATCTATTTTACAGAATGGTTGCTCTGGATAGTTTCTGTGCTGTGTCTGGGATGATATATTAGGGAAACGGGAAACTATCTGAGTAAATAGATGAAAAAAGCTAGAAGAAAGGAAATATAGTAACAGAATGGAATGAAAAATAATTTAAATCTGTAAGATTTGGCAAATGTCTGCCCATTTGTGGTGATGAGGAATAGATGAAGGATGTTTGTCAGATAGATGACTGAAATTCATGAGGAGGCCTATATCTGTGGAGGGAAGAATGAATATGGTGCCAGGCATTGAGCCTGGAAAGCTTTGGCACCTTCCACATGAAAACCAAATTCTTTTCTTCACTATCTCATGGGGCTTGAACTCAGGGCCTGGGCATTGTCCCTGAGTTCTTTCACTCAAAGCTAGTGCTCTACCACTTTCAGTCACAGTGCCACTTTCAATTTTCTGGTGGTTTATTGGAAGCACAAGTCTCACAGATTTTAATGCCTGGGCTAACTTTGAACCACAATCCTCAGATCTCAGCCTCCTGAGTAGCTAGGATTACAGGTATGGGCCACTGGCACCCAACTCGCAAACCAAATTCTGTGTCTGTAATGAAGGATTGTTAGCTGGTAAAAGAATGGACAAGTGCTTTGACACTTGTTGGGGATTTTCTGGGCCCAATGACCATTCTCTTTTAGGTCATCTGATGCATTAAATTAAGCAATTTCAGGACATTCCTTTTCTTCTTTCCTTCCTTTCCTTGCCTGTCTCTCTTGTTTTGTTTTATTATGCCATTATGCTCTTCTCTAAATGGAAATTCATTTGTCTCAAACAGTCTGTGTTCATTCAAAGAAAATTTAATGGGTTACCTATGCGTTTTGTCTAAAGGCAAAGTCTGAGTTCCCATTCATTCTCTAATTTCTGTCCTTTCTTTTAGAGCATTATCTGTGAATATTTTAGTACATTATTAAACTGCCACTATCTTTGAGTTAAGCATTAAAAGCAGATTACATAATGGTGAAACTGTGCTATATCGAATGAAAGTCACTTCATTATGGAAAATAGTTATCTCTTACAATTTGGTTGTACTTAAATGAAAGCCAAAATATTTTAAAAATGACTCTGTAATCTCATTATAAATACAGATCTTAAAAATGAGCATGGGGAATAAAAGAGAGAAGGATGGGAGAGTAATTAATATTTTAACTACTGATAAATATGTTGCTTCTTCATATGCATTATCTTACTCTATTGTACATTCCATTATTGTACACAGACATTGTTGTTGCCTTCATTTTTTTAGAACAAATGTGTCCTTACTTGTTAACTATTTTTTTCTCATAGGTAGATAATGATGACTTTAATGTTTCCTTCATAAAATCAAATGAAGAAAATAAAACCATAGAAATTAATGACTTACAAATATTCACACGGTATTCTGTGGTGGTCACTGCATTTACTGGCAATGTCAGTGCTGCATACGTGGATGGAGAGTCAAGTGCTAAGGTCATCGTTACTACTTTAGAGTCAGGTGAGGGGGGCTTTGGTCATTGTTGAACGGTAGTCGAGACAACTGTCTGTTTTTCTTTTTTTTTCTGTTATGACTGAAGTTTGGTCAGAATAGTTTTCCTTTATTTTTATTACGTTTTCAATAGCATAGTAGTTTAAAATTCTGGAGAATTTATATCTCTTCTTTTTCATAAAGAAAGAGGGAAGGAAAGGAGGGTAAAAAGAAAGAAGATTTGAAAGAAGAATGGAAAGAGAGAGGAGAAAGGAAATTGGCTTTTTCATAAAATTAAATTTCTCTTGTAAAAGGCTACAAGACTTCCATTTGCATCCCCAGGTCCCCTTAAACTATAAATGTAAAAACTCATGTGAGTGTTTGACTGCTAATAATCAGAGGAGTTCCTAACAAGGAAAAGAGGGGCCCTATGACCTACTGGCAAATTTGTAGGTCTCATGACAATAACTAATATTTAGAGCCTGAAGTTCCAATGAGCAATCTTAAAGGAATACACAGTTATCTCACAAAAAGGAATAATACTGAGACAAAAATGCCTGCAGGAATTTATCTCATCCTTGTTTCTACCAGATTTCTCCAAAACTGTATATCATCTAAAAATGATCCTTGGAGAACAAAATGTAGAGTAATGGGATAGACACGTGTTAAGATATATAATATGCAAATATAAATGAATTTATTAGTATATATATTCATGGGAATCCTACAAAATATGAAACCTGAAGAAGAGCCAGATTGTTGAGATTCCCCTTCCATAGGGGAAAAGTAAATGTGTGAAAGAAGGGGGACTGTCAGCAATTTTCAAGGACCAATGTTTTTACTTTTTACTTTTTTATTGTCATGGTGCTGTATAGAAGGGTTTCAGTTATATAAGGAAGGTAATAAGTGCATTTCTTGTCAACCTCGTTATCCCTTCCCTCAATTTTCTCCTACTTTCCCTCCCTCCAGCACCCCTCCAAGTTATACAGATCATCTGTCTTTCTTACTGTTCTTCACCCTACCCTATGACATATTGTTATGAATAAATTTCTAAAGAAAATTCAAAAGGTTTAATGACACTGCAATTGACACCTTTGAGACAAAATGGAATTATGGAGACTATTCAGTGCTTGTAAATACAGAAACAAATGAATGGTACTCACCTGTACTTTTATGAGCTTACCAAATCTGCTAAGTCCTCAAAAAATAAACTTGACCTTACCTAACAGATTATTTTGTCAAATGTCTACCACCCAAAAGGCTACAACTAAAATTCCATTTTGGTTATTTTTTTCTGTGCTGTGATTTGAATGTTGATTCAATTAATACCCTCACTATTAAGTAATGTGGGATTTACATTCCAGATCACATTAGCATGGTTGTTTTCTTCCCATCATCAACTAGCATGTTTTATGATGTAACTATTTGGAATATGTCAGGATCTATATACAGAGTTTCTCAAATTCCTTGAATAGGGCCTGAGTGAATCCTCTAACTATAACCAATGGACATCAATGGGGGAATTGAATCTCCCAGACTTTCAGATTCCTAATGTTCTTTGACAACAGATATATCATTGGAAAGAGCAGAGGAAAGAATGTGTTGCTATAGTTAAGTTATTTAATTGGTGAGCTATGTATAGGAGATAAAAATATTTTTCAGGGTGACTTTTCCTTACATTACATTTTTTATTCATTTTTTATAGATTTATGATCCTAAATAGTGAGGGAAATTTTATCTCCAGTATCCTCAGCTCTGTTTATTTCTATTTTGCTGCTCCTTAATTGATATCTATGTATTAATTATGCTTTTTGCATTTGACCCTCATTGTACTTCTCTGTGAGTGGGAGAAAAATCGCTGATGAGTGCACATACCATGAAGTGCTGATTGTCAGATCTCAATGTTTGATCTTTCTTAAGGAGATAGTGACTTAAATTTTTTGCTGATTCTCTAAGAGTACACTTATATGCAAACAAAATGTAATTTGGAAGAGGAAAATCTAGCATTCAGAGAATTATCTTGCTTATCTAGCTATAAACCTCATCCTAAATTTAGAGAAAGCCACCTTTAACCTGAAAATGTATTTCTTAGGTATGTTATTTAATTTTTATATTTAAAAATTTTTATTGTCAAGGTGTTATACAAAGGGGTCACAGTTACAGAAGTAGTGAGTACATTTTTGTTGAAATTATTAGCCCCACCATCATTTTGCTTAAGTATCTTGAGAAGGTAAGAAAAACAAAGTGAAAATATGAACTATACTATCCAGTGTTTTAGCTATGTATTTTTCTAGCTACAACATGATACTTGGTAAAATAACGTGTTTATCTGGTTCTCTTTTTTACTCATCTTTATTTGCTTTTCTTGGCTTGTCACAGGACACTGTCTGCAAAATTAGCAAGATAGCAAAGCTTGAAAATCTGGAATACTGAGAGCCAAATATTAGGTCTTTTTCATAGGAATTATTTGTCTTTCTTTCTTTTCTTGGCAGTACTTGCGTATGAACTCAGGGCCGACACTTTACCACTTGAGATGACCCTCCAATCTGCTTTTTGTTAGTTATTCTGGAGATGTCTAGCTAGATTTTCAGTCCTGGGTGGCCTCAAACTGTGATCCTCCAATTTTCAAGAAGCTAAAATTGTAGTCATGTCCCACTAGGTTTGAGCTTTCTGTAGCAATACTTGACTAAGTATAAAAGAACATAGTCATTTTATGATGATCAAAATAGATGTATTCAATAAATCTGGTATTACTATAAACAACCTTAATTATAAAGTGCTGAGAGTTCATGCTCCTATATTTATAAAATAACTTTAGCTTCATATGTATTATATTTCATATAATTTATTTTCATATTTATTAAATGAATATTTCTTTCTTTGTTGTGGGGTCCTGCAGCTTGAACTCGTGTTTGCTGTTCCTGAGCTCCTTTTGTGTAAGGCTAGTGTTCTGATACTTGAGCCACACTATTACTTTCAGCTTTTTCTGAGTAGTTTATTGGAGATAAGGGTCTCATAGCCTTACCTTCCTGGACTGGCTTTGAACCACAATCCTCAGATCTCAGACTCCTGAGAAGCTAGGATTACAGTCATGAGTCACCAGTGCCTGGTTTAAGCTAATTTATATTTATCTAAAATAACCTTGATTATTTAAGGAATTAGAAAACTGATAAAAGATGCCAGCAGAAATTCTATTACTCAGAAGATTCAGCTGGCAAGTAAACACATAAGATAGAATTTCAGTATCATCCATAAGGGAAATACAGATTGAAAGCACAGTCAGATATAACTGTTTATCACTTGGAGCAGAAAACATTATAACTTAAAAAACAGTCATGTTAGCAAATACTGGCAAAGATACAGAGACTGAACCTCTGAATCCTGCTATTGTAAGTGTGAAAGCCACATAGGAAAATAGTTGGGCAGTATCTTATAAAACTAAAAAGGTACTTGCCACATGGCACAACAATCATAATCTTTGATTATGATTATAATCATAAGCATTGATTACAGAGAATCAAAATTTTATGCTCACTTGGACATCTGTGCATGAATGTCAATGTGGATTTTATTAATATTACTAATATTAATATTCTAGTTTTTAACTAGAAATAATGTAAATATCTCTCTGTGTATAAGCAATCTAATATATTCAGAAAATGGAACACTAATTATATATATAATAAATTAGAATAAACTATTGGTTCACTTAGCAACATGGATGTTCCTCAAGATCATAAGCCTGATATCATTCTCAAAATGACAAACAGTAGCAATGGAGAACAATTAGTGTGGCTCAAATGTATCTAAGTGCAAATACCAGTATTGTGGGAGGGAGTTTAGAGTAATGGAACATTTTTATGTATTTTTTGTGGTCATTATAGTATCTCTACATCAGAAAAAATTGTATGGTATTCTATACACATACCCAAAAATATCGATGAAATCAGGAATAAAATATGTAAGCTGGCTAAAAATATTGTATAGTTGTAAATTCTGTGGTTTGATATTGAACTACAGCAATATATGATGTCACCATTGGGAAACCTGGAAGAAGGTTACATAGGATTGAGTTGCTATTTTGAGTTGCTACTTCCTGTTAATGTATATAGTTTTAATACAATAAGTTTGAAAAGTCATAGGAACACATTCTGCACAAAAGTATAAATATGGTCTAGGGTGTAAGTCAGTGATAGAACACTTTGTTTAGCATGGGTAGGGACCTGGATTTGATTAAAGCATCTAAATAAATGAATGTATATAAAAGGCGAAGATAATAAACAAACTGCACCCCCCATTTTAGTTTCTGTGAACTATAACAATGAAACTAGCAGTTATGGGTAATTTCCATAACTTACATGGTTTAAGTAAGATATGCTATTTCACACTACAAACAGAAACGTGCAGCAAATAAAGTTTACACTGAGATCCAATACAAAACAACTTAAAGAAAATTATAATATTAAATATTTCTTTGTAGCCCCCAAGGATCCACCTAACAACATGACATTTCAGAAGATTCCCGATGAAGTGACAAAATTTCAGTTAACATTTCTTCCTCCTTCTCAACCAAATGGAAACATCCGAGCATACCAAGCGTTAGTGTACCGAGAAGATGACCCCACTGCTGTCCAGATTCACAACCTGAGCATCATCCAGACAACAGACACTTCCGTCATTGCCATGTTAGAAGGACTAAAAGGTGGACACACCTACAACATCAGTGTAAGTGTGCATAGCTTTCTATTATTTAATCAAGTTACAGAATACATTCATAAAAAATCATCATTGTAATTTGTACATCTGTAATTTGTATATGATTAAATTTTTGCATCATTTGTGGTTTTATTTTTAAAATGCCAACAGAACATAGGCTTTGAGAAATAAATATATAGTAATATATTGTAATATAGTGTAATAAATACATATGATAATATAGTGAGAACTATTGAAATGTGTAGATTACTAAAAACTTTGCCCATTTGACAATTACAAATAAAATAGAAAGAAATCATAAAAGTTGTAAAAGCAGATTTCAAAGGCAGCAGGCTGCAATAACTGTTTCTGTTTATCCTATGTATAAATTCACATATACACACATGCATATAAATATGGAGTCTATATAATCCTTTGCCTATTTTTGTATCATGCCTTGGAGTTTACAAATGGATATATTTGCTTCAGAAAAGTCATCCTATTAGCAGCATATAATTCATCCTAAGCCTTCAATAGCTGATTGTCCTACCAATGCTTTGTGGTGATCAGAAAATTGTGACTAATATATGTGTTTACAGATGAATATAGTGTTATATACACATATACATATATTCTTGACTTTAACTCTGTAACCTTATAATCTGTTTATTGATATTCTTGCTTCATTTTCCATTAAATAGACTACCACTGTGAAATAAATATCTACTGAGGAAGGGGCGGAGGGTGATGAAGAGAATTAGCTGACCTGAGTCTTTAACACAAGTTCTGTGCCTGAACAGCTTCATCACCTTTCTGTCTCTAGTTTCTTCTGTGAAAATGTGGTCAGAGGAATAGGTTTTTGTAAGGATTAAACATTTACAGTTAGGATAGATTTACAGTGCTATTTTAATTTGAGCCATTATGAATAAAAGAGAAAAATGGGAAATAAAATATAGCTAGCTTATAATGTAAAGAAACACTTTCAAAGTCCTGCAACTCTTTGCAAAGTGCACTATAAAGCATCCGTCAGCTATGGAAGTTTGTTAGAAGTAGATGTCATCTCCAGTGCTGGCCTGACTCATGCCTGAATGTCTCTGTTTTATGAGATTTGTAGGTGTCACACATGCGTATTTGAGAAACTCTGCCACAGTTTTCATTTATTATCTCACTTAAATGTTGTTATGCCCTCAAGAAATAAAAATTATTATTATTCCTATGTCATTGCAATACTTTATTTTCAATAGTTCCTTTATAATTTATAAATAAATATGCCCTTTTAAACTATTTCTTATGGGCTTGGCTTATTTACCGTAACTATTACATCATAATATACCATTACAAGTTTAATTTAACAAACCATTCACAAATGAATGAGCTGATTCTAGTAAACATTGTAATCTGAACTGTGTTTAAAATTACAGCAAAATTGGATAAGAACGGAGTTCTTATTTCATTACCAAGATGAAATAATGCAAGAAGACTTTGTGTCTTTACTTCTTAAGCACAGAGTTAATTGAAATGATTCCCATTTGTGTAAATCACCCTCTGTGTATACAAACAGAAATGTTTTATGTGTGTATGCTGCATTATGCAGGTTATACCATCAGATACTTTGGGGCAGGGGTGAAGAAGGGCATGAAGGCCAACTTTCAGAGGGATGATTTAATACAGGAAAACGGGGAGGTTGAAGGAATAGGATTTCATTTCAGAAGCAGAAGAGGATCTTGAATATGGATTTAAAGGAGTCAAGAGTTTCTTAGCTTCAGAGAGAAGGAACAGATGTTAGAGAAGATGACAGTGTAGACACAGTGGCCTTCCTGATCTGTTCCTCCTACAGGTTCCCAGAGAAACCACCATTCTTCCTGCTGTCTGTGATTGGACTTGTTTAGGTCACTCAGCCTTTGCTATTAGGACTTAGTACCAATATCAATTTTTAAAAATGCTTCATTTAAAAAAATTCTTTGGACCTAATTGTATACATTTAAGAAATCATAGTTCATAAATAGACTACATTCAGTTGTGTTTTTTATAAAATTATACATAATCATGTTCAGTTATATATACATGCAGCAAGATCTTGAAATAGTGATTAGCTTCTGCTTTGTTGCAGGTTTATGCAATCAACAGTGCTGGCGCAGGGCCCAAAGTTCAGATGAGAATAACCATGGATATTAAAGGTATAGACGTGACCTGCCTGCCTGCCTGTAAACTATTGCTTCCTTCATCAAAGAGTGATTATAATTTGAGTTCCAAATTAGAGTGAAAGATATAGGCGAGCCTTTTAATGATTCAGATATATATATATTAACTAATGTGTGCTTAAGAAAGGTATAGTTAAAATGTCTAATGATACTTACCAATAAAGTGACTACCCATTTTTATAGCTTGCTTTGATTATCCTCAAGAAATTTTATTTCTTAGGCTTAATTTCTCAAAGAAAATTCTATAGTTTAAATCTTGTTTTTTTAAGAAAGTTTTTAAAATTACCTATGCCTGGATTTTTGAGTAGATGTAATTGATTTATTTGACTGACTTCTATCTCAGAAGTCAGATCTTTTCCATTTGGACTCAGTATTTACCCAGCTACCTATCGTCAATTTCATGATTTTTTACTAGAATGTAGGTATATCACTTCATTGTTCTGGCATGGATGTATTGGTTTTTTTGTTTGTTTGTTTTTGGTTGGTCGTTGGGCTTGAACTCTGAGCTTAGGTACTCTTCAGCTCAAGGCCAGCGCTCTACAACTTGAGCACCACTTCCGGTTTTCTGGTGGTTAATTGGAGATAAGACTTTCACGGGGTTTTTCCTGCCTCGGCTGGCTTTGAATGGCGATCCTCAGAGTTTAGCCTCCTGAATAGCTAGGATTACAGGTGTGATCTACCAGCACCTGTCAACATGTATGTTTTTATAGAAGACATATCTAAAATTCTCTCTCTTTCTCTCTCTCTCTCTCTCTCTCTCACACACACACACACACACACAAGATCCACAAAATCCAGTAAAATTGGTGAACAGCAAATTTGTTCAGCTTGTTCTCTCTGTAGTACACATAAACAAATGTAATAAAACATTTAGAGAGAATAAAATGTAACAAATCTCCTGAAATACCTGGACCTATGTGGAATTCCCCCTAATACTTCTCTTTTTAAAGCAAGAAGTAACTTAGTCTGTGGCAGGCACAACACAGCAACTGATGACAAGTGTGAGATTAGGTGAGATTCAGTATCAAATGTTTGAGAGTGAATCCTGGATTGACCTCTTGATATCCATTTAATTTTGAAGATGTTTCTTTATAAGCCTGCAAACGGATTGGTATGCAGTTTAAAAGTGATGATTTTGAAAAACCCTTTTAAGAAAGGATCTGGAAACCTTTACTATGAAGAATAAGAAATAGTCAAATTCATTTAAACTATTTTTTAAAATTAATCAGTGAATTATCAATACAGCTATAATATTTCTTGATAATATTAATTCCCCTTTTTGTGCCTGTCCTGGGGCTTGAACTCAGGACCTGGGTGCTCTCTCTGAGCGTTTCTGCTCAAAGGGAATACTCTACTATTTGAGCTACAACTCCACTTCCTGCTTTGATAGGCTTAATTGGATATGTCTCACAGAATTTCCTGCTCTGGATGGCTTTGAACTACATCCTCAGATCTCAGTCTCCTGAGTAGCTAAAATTACGGGTATGAGCCACTGGTGACCAGCTTGTTAACATTAATCTTTGATTTCAGTTGGCAAATACTGTATTTTGGAATATACAAATACATAAAGCATTTGAAACTATCAGTTATTTGTAAAAATGACTTCATGAAGTATAAGAAGAATAAGAATTATGCCATCCTAATTTTTTTGTTATGCACTGGCAGACATGCCAGTACATAGATAGCAATAGACATATAATTTTACACATTAGCAAAGTACCATCTCCTATGTTTTTGCATCCCCATGTCAAAATGGTTCTTGCTTTCACTCTTTTCTAAGCAAAGAATCATGACTAGTCTATATATGTATACATATGATATATAGGTATATATGTATATATTATATATGATGTATATATGACATATATGTCTGTATATGATGAAAAAACAAGAAGAGCCCCTAGAATTACATATTTCAGAGATGTTTATATTGGATGATGGAAAAATGTGAATATCATGACAGTTTCAGATACTAGCCTATTAAGGTTAAAAATACCTTTGATACCAGAAATTCCACTGTTGGGAATCTATCCATAGAAATAAAAAGACTACCAAATTAAAGCAACCATGCAAGGCTAGATATTATATTAAATGCTCAATAACTGGAATAAAAGTCCCATTTCTAGGTAGATGGTTGAGTTCCCCTTGCTTGGCAGATGGCTGGATCAATATGAAACTGCCACAGTATATGCTACCATCACTAAGAAGTATGAGTTAGCATTGTAGCTGAAGTATCAGAAAGACTTATACAAGTCACACTGAAGTAAGAAAACCAATATATAGAGCAATGATAATTTCCAATATAGCCATATTAGAAAAAATTGAGAAAAGTCTCTTTTTGTGATTTCTATGATTATGGAAACAAGAGGAAAAGTATAGGAGACCATCCTCTGTGTGTCTAAGATAAACCAACTATAAGAAGGCTGCTGCAATCAGTTCTAGAACAGCAGCTAAAGGGAGTAAAAAGAAAATTACACTAAAATATTAGCAAGATGTAAATGTTTTGTGCATTTATGAAAATTACATTATGAGCAAGAGTATGCATAAATTGAATGTTTTAACATGTGAAAATGTGTCAGATGCCTGGAAATCACACCTGGGCCCAATTATCTCAGACAAGTCTCAAATGCATAGCTACACTGTCATGAGATAATAATTGGTAAATAGATGTTTTATCCAAACACAGTCCTTAATTTGTTATTTGTTTCTGCAACCATTTTATCTATAAGTTAGCTGCCTGAAATGAGAATTTGATTTACACCCTTCTGGTTAGAAGCAAAATAATCAGTTATAGTGATATATCTTTTCTATTTATAGCTCCAGCCCGGCCCAAAACCAAACCAACCCCTATATATGATGCCACAGGAAAACTGCTTGTGACCTCAACAACGATTACAATCAGAATGCCAATATGTTACTACAATGATGATCATGGACCAATCAAAAACGTGCAAGTGCTTGTGGCAGAAACAGGAGGTACCAACCGATATTCAGTTTTCTTGTTGAATTGTGGAAAATGAATTTCTAAGTTTATAAAATAAATAACAGTTCAAAAGAAGTGAGCTGGGCATGATGGCATAAACCTTTAATTCTAATGCTGTGGATCTTGAAGATTGTTAATTCCAGGCCTACTTGGGCTAAGTAATGAGAACCTGACTCTAAAACAAAGAAACAAACAAAAATGAAGACATAACGTTGATTTATCGCTATCACACACTCTGTGTCTATTTTTATTGATTTTATTGATTTTTATTCTTTTTGCCAGTCTTGGAGCTTGATCTCTGGGCCTGGGCACTGTCCCTGGGCTCTTTTTGCTCAGGGCTATCACTCTACCATTTGAGGCATTAGCACCACTTCCAGCTTTTCTTGTGATCAATTTGAGATAAGAGTCTCATAGACTATTCTGCCCAGGCTGGCTTCCAACTGCGATCCTCAGATATCAGCTTCCTCAGTAGCTAAGATTACAGGCATGAGCCATGGGCACCAGGCTAGATTGTCAATATTATCACCAATTATATACCATTTATGCTGAAAGTGTTTTACCCACATGATAAAAGTTATAATTAAAGTCTGTGGCTTATTTTCTATGCTAGTAGGACTGTTTTGATTTTTGCAAGGTGGATCTAGATAACATCTTTAGACTTATGAATAAGTGTGACCTTCACTTAAAGTTGTTCCTTTTTCTTCCAGAGAACTCCACCACCACAACAGTGGCTTAGATTCATTTACAGTAGAGAAGGACAGGGTTACCTGCTTAGCCAAGTAGACAAGCTAAATGATGGTGCTGATTCAGAGTGACTGCTGTTGCCTCTAGAATCCCCTAACCCAATTACAAAGGCTTTCTGTAAATGTTAAAGTATTTCCAAATGTTACTTATGATCAATACTCTCTTTTTTTCCTCTGAAAATAGCTCAGCATGATGGAAATGTAACAAAGTGGTATGATGCATATTTTAACAAAGCAAGGCCATATTTTACAAATGAAGGCTTCCCTAACCCTCCATGTATAGAAGGAAAGACCAAGTACAGTGGCAATGAGGAAATCTATGTGATAGGTGCTGATAATGCTTGCATGATTCCTGGCAATGAAGAGAAAATTTGCAATGGACCTCTGAAGCCGAAAAAGCAGTATTTGTAAGTATAGTTTATATCATCTCTGAATTATCTTAGTGAGTTTGTTAATATTGGATATCTATCCATTTTTTTCACCATCCCAGTAAGCACTGGATATCCACCATGTATTATAGACTTATTATGGAAAGTTAGATGTTCTATAGACAAAGAGTATGATAGCAGGAAAATCTGAAAAAAAAGTTTTGACAACGTTAGTTGCAAAAGTGAAAAATGAGCTGGGAAGGTGGCTCAGTGGTAGACTGCTTGCCTTGCATGCATGAAGCCCTGGCTTTGATTCCTCAGTGCCATATAAACAAAATAATAATAATAAATATTTTTTAAAAAGCGAGAAAGACAGTTGTTGAGCCAGGCTCTGGTGGGCACTGGTGGCTCACACCTGTAATCCTTGCTACTTAGAAAGGTGAGATTTTGGGATTACAGTTCAAAGCCAGTTCAGGCAAACAAATTGATGAGAGTCTGATCTCTAATTAACTACCAAAAGGCTGGACCTAGAGTTGTGACTCACATGGTAGAGCACTAGCTTTAAGTAAAAATGCTGAGACAATGTCAAGGCCTTGAGTTTAAGCCTCAGTACCAGCCAAAATAATTATAAAAAATTATGTTACGTATATAATACATGTATCTAATTATATATGCATATTATATAAAGAACAAGTATAGGCAGGTAGATTTAATTCCTTCTGTAGAGAACAATATGAATACTGTTTTTCTCTCATTATTTTGCCAAAAAATTTTATATATAGGTTTTCAGAAAAACTATCATGCTTTATTTTTTTTCTCCTTTTTTTTCATTGTGAAAATACCATACAGAGGGGTTACAATTACATGGGCAAGATAATGAGTACATTGCTTATCAAGCACTGTTGCCTCCTCCTTTTATGTTTCTTTTTCAATTTAATTTAATTATCAAGGTGATATACAGTGGTATTACAGTTATATATGTAAAATAGTGAGTACTTTTGTTGTTGAACTTGATACCGCCTCCCTCATTTTGCTCTTACTTTCCCCTCCCCCAATCTCCCCTAAGTTGTACAGATCATTTCTAATATATTGTTTTGTGAGTATCGCTGTTGCATTGGTTCCCCCTTTGTCCTTTGTCTCAACATTTTTTTTTGTTCTCCTTCCCTTCCCTAATTCAGATACACGTATCTATAATGCCCAGGATACAAACATCAATACAGTGGCAACAAGGGATAAACATTAGGGGGGAAAATACAAAAGAAACAAGAAATCACATGGTACATTAAAAACAACAACAGTAAAGAAAAACCTCTTGTATCCCTGTTGTGGAGTTCATCTCACTTCGAATCATCTTATATGATCATATGGACATAGCTATTAAGCTATCCTGTACATCTGCTAGAATTATCCTAGACATATACTAATTGTTACAAATGAGGAAAACCATGGGATCTTAATTATGTTTCTTTTTAAGCTGCTCACAAAAATATCACTGCTTTTCATTCCATCAAACATCTGGATGACTTACAGAAATCTTTACTATTCAGATGAATATTTTAGAAGTTTATAATCCATACTAACTTAATATGTTAAAAATCAGTATTGTCTGGCTGGGAAGGTGGCTCAGTGGTAGAGTGCTTACCTTGCAAGCATGAATCCCAGGGATTGATTCCTCAGTACCACATAAGCAGAAAAAGCCAAAAGTGGTGGTGTGGCTCAAGTGGTAGAGTGCTAGACTTGAGCTGAAGAGCTGAGGGACAGTGCCCAGGCCCAGAGTTAAGGCCCCATGACCGACAAAAAAAAATCAATATTGTCATTTTGATTTATTAATAACCTTATTAAGCTGGTTAATTTCATGCTTATTAAATTGATTATAATATTTATATCATAAGACCACAATTAAAATAATCTTAAATTTATTTAATTTTCAAAATATAATGTTTTTACTAATTTTAAAATGTGGGCATTTTCATTTTTTTCCTGCTTGTTAATGCATTGTTAAATTCTTTATAAACAGCCTATACCACTAGCATTAGAAAAATGAGTAAAATAATGCAATTACAAGTAATGGTCTAGCCTATAATCCTAGCTACTTAGGAGACTGGGATCTGAGGATTGTAGTTCACAGCCAACCTGGGCAGTGAAGTCTATGAGATTCTTATCTCCATTAAACTACCAAGATAAGCCAGAAGTGGTAGAACACAAGTCTTGAGCAAAAGAAGCTCAGTGACAGAACCAAAGCCCTGAGTACAAGCACCAGGGCTGGCCACAAGATCATCATCATCACACTCATCATCATCATCATCATCATCATCATCAACAACAATTATTTCTTATTAAATGTAGTTACTTTGGTTCAAATTCTGAACTATTTGAATCAAACATGATAGTTTTGAAAATGGTGTACCTAAAATTGGGTATTTGTTCTCATGTATGCTTATTGGGCAAACAAACAAGATTATAATAATTAGATAATGGGAGAGAATAAATAATGTGCTTTAATTTATTGGTTTTATATTTTTAAATGCCTTTGTTTAGTTTTAAAATAAGACAAATTTAAATTTTCTCTGAGGATCCTAGACTTACCAGTAATTTTTAAGCTTCATTTTATTCTGTGCCTTTTTCTGGGGGGTAGGGGGCAGGGAATGTAGTTGTAGAGATGGGAGGGAAGGGATGGTAGGAGAAAAACAAAGGGGGAGGCAACAATGCTTTATAAGAAATGTACTCATTACCTTGCTCATGTGATTATAACCCCTCTGTACAGTATTTTCACAATAAAAAACTTATTTAATAAAAACTAAAGTCATACAAGTGTTTAAGTAAATTAAGCACATGCCAAAACAAAGAAATTGTTCTCAATTTGTTTACATTTGAGTGAGACAATATTATTAGTCACTATTATTATATATCAGTTTTTATCAGTCACTGATTGCTCATGATTTTAGCTACATTTTTAGTAGCTACTCATCAAAATCCAACAGGCCAATGAATGGGATAATTATTAATCTTGTCTAGATACATTATAAATTTGCCCTGATGGTGATTTAATGCCAACTTTTGATCTTATAAATTCATTTTAATTAAAAATGTTGGTAATCCATAATAACTGGTTAAATTATTCATGGAAAAAGTAATGTTGCACTCACATTATTGACTTTTAATTATTTTATTTTATAGATTTAAATTCAGAGCCACAAATATCATGGGACAATTTACTGACTCTGATTACTCTGAGCCTGTTAAGACTTTAGGTAAGACATATTTTGTAATTTAATCTAATTTTAACATGTTTAAATAGTTGGAACATTTATTAAGTATTCAGTGAGTATCTTAAAGCTTGACTGAATATTCTTCACTAACGCTCATTTCAAAGTTAAATAACATGACTAGGAAAAATGGTGTTTACAATATTCCTTTAAAAGTTGGATGCTACTTCCATTCAAATCTAGATACAGGTCTGGTTAAGGTATTGATTCTTTGCTGACATCGGCTAGCATTATCTCAGATAAATCACTACTTAGCTCTTTAAATGTACAATCTTATATTAAATTTTGTTACCTAATGAAAAAGAAATAATCTGTATGGAACTTTTCTTTGCCTACTTCTAAAACCTAGAAACTTTGGGCTCTTTATATAGTAATTTTCTTTACTTTCTGCTCTGTCCTGAATTACTCAAAATCATTCCTAAATAAAACACAAACATATTTTAGTAGGATGCATACACATATCATCTTTATTCTTTTGCCTTCATGACCTTCATAAGAGTTATATCTAATATTAAATATTTTGTGCTAGACACATTTTCAGGCTCTTTTTATACACTTACTGACAAACTTTTTACAACTATAAGTTGGGCCAGTGTTTCTCTACCAGTATGATTTTATACACTAGTTATTTGAAAATATTTTCTTGTCATAAAAGACTGGTGATGGTGATAATGACGATGGTGTTGGTATTGCAGGTGGTGGTAATGGTGGTAGTGATGAGGTAGTGTTATAGTAGTGATGGTGATGGTGATGGTAGTGGTAGTAGTAGTGGAAGTGATTGTAGTGATGTTGTTTGTGGTGTTGTGATGATGGTAATATTGGTGGTATTGGTGGATGTTACTGGCATCTAGTAATATCTAGAATTATTACAATAGACAGGGAAGCCCAGGATATTAATTAGGCTGAGCATGAGAAACCCTGAGTTAAGTGTTAAGTTTTCTTTCTTTTACATATGTGGAAACTAAGTAATTAAATGTCTGAGCCACGATTCAAGATTACATTAACTACTACAATACAAATAAATGTATACACACAGCTTGCGATCTTGGCTCTGTCCCTTGAAACACTAATTTAATTTCTATATGCCTTAATTTCCTTGCTTGAAAAAGGGTAATAGGTATGATCTTTACCTTTATGTGAGGGTCAGCGAAGGGTTTAAATAAACAAACATATGAAAAGATATTAAAATGTAAGACTATATAATGCACAATTTGCTAAATAGATGCTTATAAAGGAATAATAAACTTATTTGATGAAACTCTTCAGTGCCATGAACTCACTAGCTTGGTTAACTTCACCCAACAGGTTAGTCATTTCAAAGGTGGCTGGTTTGACTTGTGGCCTTGAAATTATGTCAAATACTTCTGCATGTGATAAGTGAATTTTGCACTCTGATGCCACTGTCACAGAGTAAATGTTATGTGGTCAGCAACAAAACTTCCTGTAGATGAAAACATTAGAAACCACTAGCTCAGTGGTGATTGTGGTACATTTACTGATAGAACATAAAAGACACAGGTAAGATGGATAACTTGTATGGTCATATGGAAACAGAGCTGTAAGAAGCTATGCTTTCTGTGTCTCTCAGATGATTGTTGGTTTGATGGAGATCATCAATGGGAGGAAATGTCCAGTTACATACCTGAGAAATAAAAATGAGACACACAGCTTGATGGGAATGGATGAATCATAGTAAAGGGTAAAGCCAAGCATTTTGAATCCTGGGATACAGGGGTAGGATTCCTTAGACTCTTCCAGTCACTTTCTTCTAGCCAGGGATGGGCTTCATTCAAACTATAGATATTCTCAGGGCACTTGTCAGTGATGTCCTTCTTTCTTTCCTCCACATACAGCCAGGGTAGTGGAATAAAACAGCCAATTCACAGTCAGTTATTTGTTCCTTCTTTGGAACCATAACTACCACCACGCTAGTCATCCAAGTACTAAGGTTTATGAAGCCCCCATAAGGAAGAGAGTCTAGAGTTTTTGGAAGATGTGGAATAAAGGACAGAGGCCAGGAGAAGAAGGATGGGGATAATATAAACTGCACACAGTATTTAGAAAGCCATTGGACAAGTAAGAAATACTGATGAAGAAGGACCTCAGGTGTCTGCTATTAGATTTCTCAGAGTGGTCCTCAGAGGAATTCTCCTGATAGAAATAGTTTTGTCGTTGGATTTGCCACGTGACGATTATATAGTTAGTAAAATACAGGTACAGTAAAAAGACTCAAAAGGAAATGATGTCTACCATTTCTACAATGGACAATGGTCCATGACAGGAAGGTAAGCTAGATTGGGGGAAGGCAAAGAGAAAGGAATACAAATAATGCTGTTAGAATCATCAAAAGATGGCAACAGGTGATTGATGCCTTTTTCCTTTCAAATGTGTCACATGTTAGGGTGGATGATATTTACTGTAGGCTGGGGGATCCCAGCATTCCTGCAAGCCTACTGAAGACTTGTGTGTGCAGGTAATACAAGACATCAGTGAAAAAAAATCCATTGTGGGTCAATCAAATCCACAATGGATCAACATTTACTCATTTGTGTTTGCATACCACAGCAGTGAGTTCCAAGTAAACATGACTATCTATTGAAACTTCTAGATTTAGCTAGGGAACTGGGGCTCCTATTTGTCATCCTATTCAGGAGGCTGAGATGTGAGAATCATGGTTTGAAAAGACCCTTATTTCCAATTAACCAGAAAAAAAGACATGGAGGTATAGCTTAAGTGGCAGAGTATCAGCCTTGAGTAAAAAAGCCAAACGAGAGCAAGAAACTCCTACTGTGGGCACCAAAAAATAACAGACAAAACATTTAAAAGAGTTGACAAAGGCTCCATCTGTCCAGATTATTTTTGCTAGTTGGGCCTTTAAGAGACATCATATGTAATTAAGATTTGGAGGAAAAGAATCACTACGGACTGATCAACTAAAACATGAAAACATAGTGAAAGTCACTTATGTACACGTGAGAGGGACATAGAGAAGAGGGCCTGACACTTAAGAAAATCCTTTTGACTTGTAGGAATAAAGAAAATGACAAATGAATTATATGAATTGTAAAAAAAAAATGAAAGAATATTTTGTTTCCACCCAAGATGATCATTATTAGCATTTTTATTAACTTAATTCCCATCAACTCTCTCTAGCTCTCTTTAAAACTCCTCTGAAGGCACATCAGGTTATGGAAACTGCTTGTAGGCAATGTTTTGATTACAAGGTTTAATTATCTAGGATTCGTGTGATTTGAAAACCAGACACCTCTGTCTGCACCTTACAAGGCTCTCATTAAAGCTGAACAAGATGAAACTTAAACCCCAGGCAAAGGCACTCAGTGATTGTTTTCTTTTGTCCTAACACGTCTCGTTTAATTACTGTGCTAACAATGTAAGGTTCCAATATACCGAGACTCAGAACGAGGGAGTTGCTGGGCCATTTGCGGCCAGCGGATCACTTCTCCCAAGGCACCAGAGGAGCAGAGGAAATTTTTATTCCAATAATAAGGCAGTAGTAAGGTGATGTGAAGCTCACCTACCCCACAGTCAGACAGTCATGTTTCAGGCAGTTTGGGTCCATGTTTAATTATATGACCTTGGGTTAGATACTTCATAAATGATTTACCTTCTGAAATTATTTTTTCTTATTTCTTTTTCACTTTTTTAGCTTACATTAACTATACAAAGCATTGTTACATGGTCGTACATGTTTATAATATGTTCCCATCAATCTTACCACGCCTTCACTCTGTCTCCCCTCTTCCCGTCATCATCTCAACACAATCTCAAAACTTTTCATCGTTCTATGTTCATAGTTGCAATAACTGTTTTGACATATTCATCCTCTTTCCTCCTAGTTGTTAGCCCACCATCTCCTGCTAATAACGCCTACCACACACATATCAAAGTGGAGTTTTGAATACTTTAGTTCTTCTCTCCTTCTATTGCCATATTTCTAAAATGAGAATACTAATATCTACCTCTTAAGCTGAGAGACAAATACAGATGTGTGGCTGCTTGCATAAACACAAGATGTCCACTTCATAAGGTACTAGTCATTGTCTGCCTGTGTTTAGTAGTTTTACATATAAACATATGTATTCTTTACCTTAACTATGGCATGGCTATTTGAAGTGATTCCAATTCATAAGCAAGCTATTGGAAGCACTGCAATTTTCCCATAGGTTTTAACCATGGCTAAACTGGTGACAGCATCACCCACCTTCGACCTCAGGCAACATGACTCCAGACAGTGCTGCGCTTGTCCTTGGTTGTCCCTGTGCATGGAAACCAATGGAAGCCCAGTAGCATCCCCTGTCTGCACCTAGGGGCTTCCTTAGCATCATCACCACTGTCTACTCTCAGTATTTTGAGTTAGTTCTACCAGCTTTCTTGTCTTACCTTCTTTCCTTTTGAGGTAAAACATTTGGAAGTGAGCATGGTTGGGTTTTGTTGCATAAGGATGTGGGAATAATGTTCAATATTTCTAGTAATGAATAAGGTGACTTTTTATACATCTTGCAATCATTGTTTATTTACTACTTTTTAAAAAATTGCTAGTTTACATGGGTGAAAATGAAAGTCCTACAGAATATTTTGATTTATATTTATTTTTAGGAATTCTTATTTAATATTATAATTGAATGTTTTGGGAAGTAAGAAGAGATGCTGTGATCTTCAATGTGGAATGATTGAGTCAAGTTAACTAACATTTCCATGACCTCAGATGCGTATCATGTACTCCTACAACCCAACTATATTGTTGAAGCATAAAATTGAGCAATATTTAGTAAATTCTTTATGAAACATTTGAACATGTTAGATACCTTGCACTGGACTAAAAGAACAGAAAAAACCTCCCAACTAGTATTGTTTTAAGAACGTTAAAGTAATAATAATAATAATAGAGTATCTTCTACTGTAGTATGCCCCTTTATGAAGAAAAATACATTATGGTATAAGTTTCATATGTTTTCTTTTAATTCAAGGTTCTTCTTATAAAATATTCTAAAATGCTTAAAGACTTGTTCTGTGTGGTAGACAAAAGGGTATTTTCCCATGATGTAACTCCTTGAACAATTGACAATTTAACCAAATGAATATTAGGAAGCTGAAAGGTTTTGCCTTGGGGGAGGGTGTAGCTTAGGGAAAGGGGGCAGATAAATAATCAGAAGAATGCTGGGTGAATATAGTTATAATGCTCATTGTACTAATGTGAAAATGGAACCAGGGAAGAAGAAGATGGATGGGGTTTGGATAGATGACAGGAAAACTGATGGAAGTGGTGACTTGTACTCTTACACTAGGATGCTGAAGTACAATCCCTCCTAAATATACAACTACCTAAATATAATTTGAAAAACATTTCTAAATGCCCTCCAAAATGAAAAAGAAAAGATTGTATTGTAGTTTTAAATTAACATGTTGAATTGAAACGTCTTTGGAGAACTACTTAAAAAATAAAAACACTTGGATCCCAATGCTGAATTTCAAAAATGTTCATTTCAGCCAGAAGATAATATTTAGGAAAAATACTGTTCTGTAATTATGATTTGCTAAATTGCAGTAGTGAACTTATTAAGCAAAGATAAAATGAATTGATCTCTCAGAGAATATTAAATAGATTGAGGAAATAGCTTTTGCATATTATAGAGTTAAAGAAGTCCACTTTATATGAAAACATTTGGAGCAGTGATCTCATTCTGTGCGAGTGAAGCTCTGTGGGTCCCTGGACGGCAGTACTTGGCAATTGGAATACATTTTATCCTATCCTGGTGGCACTTTACTGAAACTTATGCCCAGGGCATTACAGTCTGTAATCAAGCATTGCACAAAAAATTTACAAAAATGTATTTAATTTCATAATATAATGAATATAAATAGAAGTGATGGCTATATTAATTAGATTGAATCAATTGTTTCACGTTATCTATAGCATATTACCTTACTTCACATATTACAGCATATTGCAGCATTACTTTGTTTTGCACAAATAGATACAATTGTAAATACAGTTGTCATATCGTATAAATTCAGCAGATAATGTTTAAAGATGACTATTTCTGCTTTGTTAGAAATAGATGGTAGAAAGACTACAGTGGGCATAGGAAAACTTGTTAGATGTTCACAGAATAATTCATGGAAGACAATGTGGTGTCTTGCACCAAAATGCTAGAAACAAGAGGACGTGAGAAGAGAGTGGAACATAACTCAATGTACGAAGAATAGAAGCATGAACCCTCAGATGGCTGCCAAGTAGATTTTATAACTATTGTATTTTCTCTTTGGTTCATTTTTATATTTATTCAATTATATTTGTGTATTTTGTAGTAAGTCACAGAGTATTATGCCACCATTAAATACTTTAGTGTGATTCTTTAATAGCATATTTTATTATATTGTCACAAGTTAACTAACCTTGAGGTTTTTAATTAACTTTTTTAACTTTAAAAATTTATTTCAAGCAGGATACAAATAACAGTTAACATTGAATAATAATTTTTTTAATTTAAATTTATTTTTATTGTCAACGTGGTATACAGAGGGGTTACAGTTACATACCTAAGGTATCAAACACTGTTACCCCTCCCTTTATTTCTCCCACTTTTCCTCCTTCCAGAGGCCCCCACCAAGTTGTAAAATTCATTTTAAATATATGGTCTTGTATCACTATGCATTGGTTCACCCTTTGTCTTTTGCCTCAAATTTCTTATTTCTTTTTTTTTTATTCCCTGATACAATACAATTATTGAAGCATGGAGAAAAGTCATCTTGTAAGAGGTCCCATATCTTGCCTCTTTATGATTTTTCATGCTATTTAATTTATTCTTTATAATACTTTCCTATAAATGAGTGAAAGCTAAGGGTTTGCATACTCATGAGCAACATTTTATAGTACATTTTGTAGACAAATGACTGCTGACATCAAAATACTTCCCTCAGAGAATGTATACTATCTGGTTGTTACAGTAGATACTAAAACTGGGAAGTTACTTTTCATCCTTACAGTCATCAAATAATCTAAGGTAGCATCCTATTAATATCTAATTTTCTGCCAGCCTTTTCCCTAATAATTTAAAATACATTTGTGTTTTTCTTTCCTAAATTATTTCATTAGAAATAAATTGTTTATTTTAATTTTATTCCATCTGTATTATAAAACAGAAATATCTTCTAAAAAAGAGCTTTATCTGCTGGATATGAAGATACACACCTATAATCTTAGCTATTCAGGAGAAGGAAACAGGAGCCTGGGGAAAGTTAGGGAGACTATATCTCGAAAACAAAATGCAAGCAAAAACACTTGGAAATCTTATACTAAGAGTGCTTGATTAGCAAAGAGCCTAGGTTCAAATTTCATACAGAAATAATAAGAGACCTAAAGGTCTAAAACAAAATCCATAAAATATAGCTCATATCAGCTAGAAAATTGCAAATTTTAACTATAACTTACTAACAAATATCAAGAGTAAGGAACTGCTCTAGCAATAACAAATCATCATTTTTCCCTTTTATTGAATATCAGTAGGGCTCATGGGTTTTTATATATTCAATTTCATTAAAATGCATAACTGGGTTCCATCTTTCATCAATAGGAGCTTCTTTGAGATGATGTTTTATTCTTTTTGTACCATTAGTCTTTCTAAGCATCCTAGTTTTCTGGCACTATATTTGTTTTATAATTCACTGTAGCCCTTATCCCCACATTGGAATTACCATATTTCAAAAGTATCCGGTTTCATTCAGTCAGAAGTATATCTACATATACTTTGAAGAAAAAGCCAACAGATTTTCTTCACAAATGTTAGAATTATTCTACGAAAGAGAGTCAAGTATGACTAATTTTTTGGCCTGAGAAATTGGAATAATCGAGTTTCTATCAATAGATGGAAGAATGCCATTGAAATGAAAAATACTGTGAGCTCAGTTTGGATATAATAATTTTAAATTTTTGGTTTTGTTTCTAAATCAAGCTATCTAGTAGGTAGGTAATTGGATATAGATGTATAGTTTGGTCAGTAAAAACTTAAGTAATTATTATCAAATAAGAAATTTTCAACCAGGAGTCTAGATACAGTCACAAAGGGACCTATTTATATAGAATAAAGAAAATCCTGAAGACTGAGCTACAAAATTAGAAGATCTAGGAGCAAAAGAACAAACAAGTTTGTATTTGCTAACAGCATTCTTGAACAATGTGCTTACAAATATGTTTGTGGTTTGAGACTCAGGATAGTATTTTGAGATCGGGTATAATGATATGTTACCTTTTCCAGGTGAAGGGCTTTCCGAAAGAACTGTTGAGATCATTCTTTCAGTCACTTTGTGCATCCTTTCAATAATCCTTCTTGGAACGGCTATTTTTGCATTTGCAAGGTAAGATTTATTGTGTACACACTCCCAGAATGCTTTAGGGACATTGTATCAGCTACAGTACAATCTACACTTAGGAGTAAGAATCAACAAGAGTAGCTTAAATAGAAAACAATTACTTTTATTTGCCTTAATCTGAAAAAAATGATGTATTTATCTTGAACAGTATGTTTTTTATGTGTACTTGTAAAATGAAGTAATCTAGTCCTAAAACTGGAATGCTGCCATTTGAATGTAAACATTCAATATACAAAATTATTAACTAGAAGAAACAGTTAATTACTTAATGGAGGTAAAAGAGAACTCTAAGAGGTCCTGAAGTAACAATTATGAAAATGCAGCAACTCTTTTTAGAAAGTGGAGAGAGGACAATGGGGAACTAAGAACTGCAAAATGCTTTCCCCGAGGTTGTCCAGAATGACTACTGTAAGTACATGCAGCCCATCCCCCAGAAGTGGGCAAAGAAATATGACTGAGGAAGGGAGGAGGGCTGTATTAAAGGTACTGTCATTATTGAAGGCAAGAATTGGTGGTAGAAGTATCACATGCTTGTTGAGCGGTACCGTAAGTCTGAAGGTGGAATTCATAAATGGTGTTGGGAGAATCTGCACCTGAGGCGCTATGAGCTCACCCAGGTGGGCTGCTGGGCTCCCACTAGGAATGACAGCACAGAATAACACAGAGCTTAGAAAGGCAGTCATTCCTTACCCTATTGCATTGCCGAGTCATTTAGTTACCCAACATTGACCTTAGCATTCCGCCATCTGGCAAAGGAGAAATGTTAGAGAAATTTTGCACCTTTACCATAAAGCAACAACATTAATGATGGAGTTGAAGTTGAGTGACTATAGAATAATAACACAAAAGTGGAAGCTCCCAGGGTTTCTCCACACATGCATGTGTGCATGTCTGCATGCATGCACGTGCATGCATGTGCATGTGCCAGTCCCTGGGCATCAATTCAGGGCCTCATGGTCTTGCTTGGCTTTCTTGCTCAGAGCTAGTGCTTTACTCGGGCCTCCAGGCCAGTATTTGTGCTGGTTCATTGTAAATGGAGTCACACACTTTTCTGCCTGGGCTGGCTTTGAATCAAGATCTTCTAGGTCTCAGCCTTTTGACATATTAGGATTACAAACAAGCATGAGCCATCTGGCCTCATTTTGAAACTCTTAATTTGCCATTTTAATGGATAATTTTAAAGTTTCTTGATAAAGACCTTTCTTTATATCACATATTTTTCCCAGATTGAACTAAAAGGTGATGAGTGAGAGTTAGTATTCTGGTCTCTTTGAGAGATATAAGGTGTGAGATATGGACCTGTTTATATGCATTCACTATATTGATTTTTCTTCCTCACTATGAAATCAACCTTGTCTTCACATTTCCTTGCAGACCAACTCATTATGTGGCCTGTAAATAGATTCCATCCACCCTCCCTGTCCCCCAAATCCACGCTATCCATTCCAGCTATCGGGTCTATTCTCACCTGAACATTTCTTAGGCTTTCACACAACTCTGTTTTTGTTCAGTCACCTGGAAATGTACTTTTTTTCTGCTTCTTATTGGAACATGAAAGCTAAAGAATTCTACTTTATTTCTGTGAAACACGAACAATGGTAATTACATAGCATTCTATAGCTAACTAGATAAAGTCTAAGGAGTTGTAATTTGATTCCTTTTTTCTTCTTTTTCTTTTTGTATATTTAGAGTAACCCTCTCAACTAAAATGGTAGTATTATTGATGACTAGGAACTTATTTTATGTTGCATATAGCGTCAACATCTAAGTCATAATAAAGGTTAAGTATTTTTGATACATATGCCATGGAGAAATATGCATCTAAAGGGCTTAAAATGAAAATATTCTGATTAAATGTTCATATTCATAATTAATTTTAATTTTTGGACTTGTTTTCTGATTATAATGAATTTATATATAGTAATATATCATATATTAATCTATCATAAAAATTTAATAATTCAAAAGACATTGTGGTATCTTTGCAGGCGTTCAAAATTTTTCATACTCAGAAACAATGGACCATGGAGTTTAAGATTGATATTGACAGCACTGTGTTATTTTTACTTTGACATATGTTCTTTTGGTGACAAATCAGTGGGATGGCTAATGAGAGGAAAACCTGGTCGAGCTTCAGTCTTGTACTGGCTCTGCATTTTAAATGTGATCATTATATAGGCCTTGATCAAGTAAGTCCCATTAGATTAGCAATGTCAGCCAATTTGTTAGAAGAAGAAAACAATAATAGATTGGATTGCATATAACTAAAACAGAAGTTGAATGGGTATAAATTGTCCGACGCTCAGAGAAGTGATCCCAATAGAGAACTTACTTGACAAAATGTCCTTAATTTAAAAAAAAAACAATCTAATCTATCTTTTGTGTTTTCTTTTGGGACTTAATTGCAATCACTTCAGAATTCGACAGAAGCAGAAAGAAGGTGGTACATACTCTCCTAGGGATGCAGAAATTATTGACACGAAATTCAAGCTGGACCAGCTCATCACTGTGGCAGACCTGGAACTGAAGGACGAGAGATTAACGCGGTGAGCACACTCCTCAGGGTGAACAGTGGTCAGAGGGCCTGGAACCATGACCCTGTCCTGACCTATGCTTGTTGGAAGTGTTTGTGGGGCTCCAATTTACACAGGTCACAGAGATCTTCTTTCAAAGGGTGACCTCCGTCTTCTACACACTTCTCAGTGATGTACAAAGAATCACTTAATCTTCCTAATATTTTGAGTTCAATATGAACCTGGGATTATAGTTTCCACCCAAGACTTTTTTCTGAGACAAATATTTTGTACACTCAACCTTTAATATTTTGTTTAATCATTCACTTTGTACGATAAATTTTTAAAATCAAGTTTTGTATGTGTATTCATATGTTCACCATAAGCTTCATTTAGTTATACTTATTATTGTTATTATTTATATCATTTTGTGTGAGCTTTACCTATAGCTCATTATTTTCAGATACAATTACATAAAAATTACCTAACCTGTCTATAGCATTTTCATTTTAGATATGGTGCAGAATTTAAAAACCTAATCCAAACTAAAATTTATCCTCAGACATATAGATATGTCACTGAATAGATATCATCAGTATGTATTGGAATTAGTAATGTTTAACTTAAAAACCAATTTAGCAACTTTTTAAAAGCATTCCACATTATTCAAGGTGTTGGTACCTTTTAAAAGATAATTTATCAATTTTTTAAGAAAGCTGTCATCAAACTGTCTCTCTTAGCTTTACATTTTTATCCAAAATATTTGATACTTACGTGTTCATGATTATTATAAAATACTTTTTACATTTTACAAGTTATTACTTTTAAAAACATGACATTAAAAGTTTTGAACATTAAAAGAATAAATCATTTGTAGATGTTACTTATCAAAGTTAGCTATTACCTAAGAGTTTGCAAGTGTATTTTCCTCATATATAATAATCCCTAACGTTTTACTGTACATGGAAGTATATCTTGTAAGCAAAGTCTTCTAGATGCTGCAAAATGGTGGTTCAATGTATCACTAAATTGCAAGAGAATTTGGTCTGTGGGGTATGAAAACTTAATTTTTTAACATTTAGAGGTTGATATTTATTTATATTGTAATCATATGTTCCCAACATAAATGTATTGAAAACTTATACATAGGACTGTGTATTATCTAGTACATAGTTTTCTACATAAGAAATGTAAAAAAGACTAATGGATTTTTAGCATGACCAACCAAAGCTAAACAATATCATAGAAACAGAACATTATATGTGCCGTCTATTCCAAGGTTCTTTCTGATAATAAAAGGAAATGTTTTCTTTTTTCCCCACGATCAACCAAATTTCAGTGGTTTCCTTCAAATTTTTGTGACACCCTCCAGAGGTCAGGACACCAGGCCCTTTCTTGTTCACCTGACAGTGTGCAATATATAGCTTCAAGTGTCTTAGTATAATTATTTTGAGCTGTTGGAACAATTCAGTGAAATCTGTCCATACTGACACATCAATATGAATTTCAGGCGGTCCATTACATTTCTAGAGCATTTTCCTGTTTTTTTTTTAAATCTTTGTTAAGCCCCTCAAGTACAGCCTTAGTAAGTTGATCTTTAGAAAGATAAATGAAACATGATAAAATGAACATAATAGTCAACATGGGAGGGAAAGTGTTTATTATCAAAGTTACTGTTAGGTGGTAGAAACTATGCGAAGCTTGTGTTTCCATAGCTTGCCCCACCCACCATTTTTGAACATTGAACATAGCTCTTTGAGTAGATTTCCCTTTAGTATTTATATTTTACATTGAGTTTCATGGGAAAGGAGTATATAGCTGACATATTATTGTGTATGTAATCCAAGGCTGCCTTTTTTGACCTTGACTCACTGTTTATTTCCTACATCTGTATTTATTTATCACATTGTAAAAACAAGCTATAGAAGTAAAATGCCATTTTGAAACTTTTATTTTTGTAAAATAAAAATTAGTATATATTACTTCTAATAACAAAACAAAATATTTATTGTTTTCTTATATTCTAGAAGTCACAAATGTGAAACATACTGCTTATAATACCAGTGACAATACTTTCATACTTTACTGGATTGAATGCAAAAATTCATTGAACTAAGAATAAAAAAGGCACTTAAAATAATAATACAGGCATCTTAACTCCCATGTGGGTAAAGTCACTAATAGATTAGGCAAGACTAAAAATAAAATAACAAAATAATCAGCTCCTTGTACATTTGGGGATCTGTCCAGTGGATGTCTACTGTTATCATAGTTTATGCTGTACTTGAATATCTACATCCATTCAAAACCAGAGATCAAGAGTAGACTCTACAAGTAAAGAATTGAAGAAATCAAATTAGCTCTTTACATTTTGGGGTAATTTACCATATGTCTTTATTATCTGCAGGAAATGGCTTAGTTAAGCCTTAACTTAACCCTAGTGAACTTTAAGCCTTAGTTAAGGCTTAAGATTACTCAACTAATGGATATGTTTTCTATTTGAATCATAGGCATGTAGTGTTTCTTCCAACATGGCAGATTTTTCATGTTAAAGTAAGCATTTGATTTTCCTCAGTTTTGATTGTGTTCACATACCCAAAAGAGAAATGCTATGGAAAGAATATTTAGCCTCTGATTACATTATTAAAGAATTATGTAAAGAATTATTTAGTTGGCATAAATAAAGCCATATTGCTTAGAACTAAATTCCTTTAAGAATTGAGGCTTTATATTTGAGGGGTTATTTAACTGTTCGATTTGACCTGCACATTTTATTTTTAAGACTGCCTTGAAACTTTGTATTTGTAAAGTCTCATGTTTTAGCTATAGTCTACCATGTTTTATGAAGAGTTTAAAAGTACATTCTCTCCCATGTTCTTTTTCTTCCAAAGTATAAAAGAAATGAAATACCTCTTTAGTACTTCTTTTTTTTGGGGGGGGGGGTCCGGTCATGGGGCCTGAACTCTGGTCCTGGGCGCTGTCCCTCAGCTCTTCAGCTCAAGGCTAGCGCTCTACCACTTGAGCCACAACACCACTTCCGGCTTTTTTCTTTTTGCTTACGTGGTGCTGAGGAATCGAACCCAGGGCCTCGAGCATGCAAGGCAAGCGCTCTACCACTGAGCCACCTTCCCAGCCCTCTTTAGTACTTCTTAATTCCATAAGAACATTCAGGGATACGCCAAGATAATGTTATAGTTTTAGTTGGAATGATAATTATCTTTTGCAACAACTGTACATAGTTTATGCACAAGTGTAGGCAACATGAGTTGCATTGTTTAGAAAGGATATTTAATATTTGGAGAATTCCCACGCTCACCAAATGAAAAACATGACCCTTGGGATTTATTATCTGATAAACAATACAACAGGGGCCACAACGTAGCCACTGCACCTCTCAGGCTCTTAGTAAACTGAGATAAGAAGGATTTCTAGAACTTGGTGGCTAGATCAGCAGATATGCTACCCAAGAAGGCCACAGACCTAAACCTATAAGCTCACAAGACTGACTGACCCTGTGGATTACATTAAAACAAACTGCATTTAACACAGACTACCTCCCAAAATGGTTGGTTATAATAGTGAAAATTAAATACCAAGAGAATTTCCACGAATTAAATATTCATTTCCTAAAATCCTTATTTTTGCATATTTTCATTTTTTTACTTAAGACAGATTTTAGTTATGTTAATAACTTAATCAGAAAAGAAATGGTAAGGCAACATTAATAGGTTTATTGAACCAAAATTCACATTTTGCATCAAATTTGATTGTCAAATTTTCTCTCTCAAAATTTTGTACACCACTTCACACTAAAAATTTGGCCTGCTTAGTTGAGTGAAATGATCATGCATTAAACTTTCAAGTCCCAGGCCAGCAATCATGAATAAAATACAATTCTCAGCAAAACAAAACAAATGATTGAATGATTTGTAGCAATTAATAGTTTAAAGTAGATCCTTTCTTTCTCCAATAAAGGCTCCTTTTTCAATGTCTTGGGAAGTGTGTATTTTTTATTTAATATATCATTATATCTTCAGGAAGCTTATTATTTAAAATAATCATATGAATGTTCTTATAAACAAAAATATATTTGTAAAAAAAGACCCCTATCTGCTTACATATATATAAGTTGCTCAGATACTAATTTTTTGTTTATGAGCAATAACTGAGTTTTAAACACTTCATGGAATGACCTCAATTCTTCCTTTGTTTTTTTTTTGCTGGATTCTCATATCCTCCCTTTACAAATGGAAAACAAAAATGTCTAAATAATTTAAATAACTGTCCCAGGTATTATTGCTAGTAAATAGAGAGAGCTATGATGGTAGCCCATGTGTGTGTTATTTGAGATATCAAGATGGACTTGTATTTTCATGTTTATGTTTAACCCTGCAGCATAATAGAGAAGGAGATCATTGTAAATTATTTTAAATAGACAAAGATTCATGGGAAATTATCAAGCTGCATTTCTATACTGAGAAAGATCCTAAAAGAACTAATTAATTTTTAGTGTGTCATGGTTTGGGGAGTAGAAGAGATGGCATTTTAATGTAGGATGAACTTGCATAAACTGGAAAACACTTAGTAGTTCATTCTTGCTTGGGCTTCAGCAAGAATTCATTACCTTTAAAAACTGTTTGCCTTTAAATTGTTACCATTTGACAGATTTTGGTCATTACTCTGTCCTAAACTTAAGCTATCTAAACAATCAATGGTAAACATAACATATGTGATCTAAAATAAAAGAAATACTTGTGAGTAGAATGAAGTTTAAGATGTTTAATGATCAAAAATAATGCAGTGTGTTTGTGTACTCAACAAATAATGAATCTTTACTTTCAGATACTCTTCATTTTTCTTTAGACGCAAGGAGATTTTTGTCATCCAGTAAGTTTTGTGGTAATGAAGACTTCTGCTGTGACTATTTTAATCTTATCAGGTGGTGTGCTCTGCAGTTTAAAATACACAACATTGAGTATTTCATTGCTCAATATGCTATTTTTACAAGCCCCCCTAAAATGCTTTCTACTGAA